AACCAGCCGTATATATAAACATTCTTAATACAATATACACACAATACACATTAAATATACTTCTATGAGTAGACTTTTCATATAATTTATAATCACTTTTTATACCATATGTATACGGTAAATATACAACTTTTATACAACAACAATAAATTATTTATACATATACACTCTTGATAAGTATAATTGTATACAGCAATGATACAAATTTTATACACATTCTGTACAATAATTGTACAATTTCTATACATATATATCCTATACAAATACATATTATATATGTATCCTATACAAGTACATATTCTATACAACAATAATACAATTTCTAATTACAGAAGGAAGTTAGTTCCTCCACTTTCATCTTAGTAACATCACTCATACACCAAGAAAACCGTTCCAATATTTTGCTGTGTGAAATGGACAATATTGCTCCCACCAACATAAATTTCTGCTTATGTAGTAGATGGCCTCTCCGATTGAATTCTTGATATCAATAGGACATTCTACACCTCCTTTATGACAGCAAAATGGATAATTGAAGATTGTTTAAATACAGTTTTATACAACCATGAATGTATTATACACATCCTATACATGTACATATTCTATACATATTCTTTATACATCCCATATTCTTATACAAATACATATTCTATACAACAATTATACAATTTCTATTCACTACCTATACGATTACATACATATTATATACAATAATTATATAATTTCTATACACATCCTATACAAATAAAGATTCTATACACATCCAATACAAATATATATTAATCTACACACATCTAATACAAATACATACTCTATACAACAATGATACAATTTCTATACAAATACCTATATATTCTATACAATAATTGTACAATTTCTATACAATTGTATTTGTTTGGCTGTGCCTTTTACCGATTAAAGCGCCCCTCTATTTATAATTGTTTTTGTTTTCCTAAATTCTTTCGAATTTGGAATATATACAAATTATTTTATCTCTTTCTATTTGGTTTGGTTTCCGAATTAGTTTTGGTTTTGGAAAAGAATTATTTATGGAAATAAAATAGTTTCCGAAGGACTTTGCATTTTTTTCAAATTAGGAAATAAATTCTTATTCTATCTTTATTTGATGGGAAATTTGTACTTTTAAATTTTAATCCCTCAAATTTTAACAAATTCTGATTTTAACTCTTATTATATTTGTGGTCTAACTATATATATTTTCATAGTTATAATAATAGTAGAAAATGGAATTATTTTTATTTTGATATTCTATGTAAAATTTGATAACTTAATTATCAAGTCTAGTCAAGTGGTTGAACATTTCTATTATTAGTTGAGGGTTTGAGTCATGTGAAAGAATAATTATCTTGGTGGAAAAGAGTAGTAGAAGTCTGTTTTGTAGAAATGTTTTATCAATTTTATTTCTGTTTATATTTGTTGAAAATTTATTTCGAAAAAAGTGAAAATTTCTCGTGGCAAAACGACTCTTTAAATTGTTCTATTTACATTCTTTTGAATTGACTTATGATGGTATTGATTTTGCTGCTCTTGGTGCCACATTAAAGCATACTTCTATTCCGTGGAAATACAAACAATGAGCTTATATTTATGTTTCATCAATTTATTTTTTGATTTTCAATCTAGTATCTGGTATCCACATTAGAGTCTGACTAAATTCAGATTCGCGCCGAGAAATCACGGAGGGTAAAGCGCTCCCTAACACAAAATAAACATCTAAGATAAAAGGTGTGTTTGGTATAACTTCTATTTGTAATTTTTACAATGTTGGTTTGAGATGATTTTAAACAGAGAAAATTGGAATGTGAGAATCCATATAGCTAATCTCACTTGTTCGGGACTGAGGCATACTAAACCAACAAAGTTTCAGCAAGAATGGAAATCATGGAAGAAGTTAATTCAGATATATATACATATTCAAAAACAATTAACAAAGACTAATCCAAACTTCATCAGATCCCCAAATCCATGTTAACGTTGTTCTTCTGCCAAAAAAAGGTTTTCATCTTCATGGGATCGGAATCGAAGATCAACAAAAAGTTAAACATGAAAAGTTTGGCGTACTGCTAACATTGTTTCAAACACATGCATCCTTGAGAGTGAACTTTCTTCGAGCTTTTCTGATCACGGAAGGAAGTTAGTTCCTCCACTTCCACCTTATTAACATCACTCATCACAACACAAATGTCAGTTTTATACCTAAGAAGACTAAACAATCCAATGGATAATTAAGAGTGAACCAGCCGAAATCGGCATGAATAGCTTGAGGGGCAATGAAACAATAGCTGTCAAAGTACCAAAAATAGCAGAGTTAGCTTGACCGCTGCTTCCTGGTTAAGAACACCTGCTTTACAGTACAATTACTCGTGATGGCATCGATCGTAGCTTCCAAAACCATTTTGAAGCAAGTACATGGCTGGCTCTGGAGGATCAGATTGAAATTCACATTTGATCAATATCATAGATGAAGTTCAGGGATCTCAATATGATCAGTTATCCAAGAATCAAGAGACAATAGCATGCTAACACTAGGATCTACAACTATTTTCATCAAATGCAAATACAAAAAAAAGTCCCATGCATGAGATCGATCATACAACACTAGAGACCAATACCAGATTTAAACTTTATGATTACTAGTACTCCTGAATCCACTATATTTTTAAACTTATCGATTCATATTGATTATTTATTTCAATCTTAGTAGAATTTACACATAATGATGCAAATGAAGAAACATTCATCCTGGCTAAAGGTCTAGTAAGAAACACACGACCTCCAAGAATTTTCGCAACCCAATAACCTTCGACTTGTGTCAAAAAGTGTCAATACTTACCTCTATATAATTTTCCTTTGCTTAAAATAGTGAAATGGGGTTAGAGACTGACCGTAATGAGAATATGCAAACAAAGTTCTCCAAGAGTAAATACGGTCACCTTCAGCTAACTCACTCCTTTTTACTCTGTAAACACACCCATCTTTTTCCTTCTCCTTTTCGATTAGCAAAACCTGTTGCTGCTCTGAATAGGATTTAAAGACTCAAAGGTCCCAAGCTTTTCCACTTCCCACTACTATTCCTTAGTATTTGATTGGACACAAAGATTTAAGAAAAATATTCTTTGGCCAAATACATATACAGTCCCTTTTACTTGCAATTTAATATTTTTTATTTCGACACTCTATCTTAATATTATTTCATTTTAGCTCAACTTCATATTTTAGGTTTCATTTAAACATTAAATATTACACCCTCCCTTCTTATTTACAGTATGTTTTGTAGGAATTCTTACAAAAAATACTTTATCATGAACATTTGTCAAATACAGTAAGGATATTTTACCCGATACATGTATATTCTCAGAGAAAAGGATCAAAATTGTCCCTTATCTTTGCCTCAAGACTAAAAATGATCCTTATCATTTCATATGGAGCACTAATAGTCCTCCTTCTTTATAAAAAATGGTACAGTTTTAGTCTATCAAATATTTTCCGTCTATCATCAACGGAAGTTGCTTATATGCGTGTCATGCATTAAATTAAATAAAAAAAATTACCCTAAAAAACTAATTGTTCTGTGTATTTTCTAGAGGGTAGATATAAGCCCTAAATGGAGTCAAAGCTATAGCAGCAAATCATAGCTTGTATATAGAATTTGTTACTTCTTGTTGTAAGCACTTTTCAATTAGCAGATCCAACCTTCAATTTTATTCGTGCACGATAAAAAAAATTCTTCGATATCATTATCTCCCTGATATTATCAATTCTATAAGGATGTATGAATTTTCTTAACGAGTAATCATAACCCAATAATAATTATTAAATTACAATTTTATGCTTAATTGATACTAACAAGCTCTTGTTTTAAACTTGAAGCGTGTTTCTGGAATTCTAGACAAAGGATTTAGTATATCTATACAACCAAAGGATGTAGTGTAGTGGATAAGAATGTTTATCTCTTAACCAAAGGTTTCTGATTCGAGCTCTTGGTATATGAACCAAATGGAGCCCTACGCGGCACGATTCTAACATTAGTTGGACACCAATATGAATATCCTGACATCAAGTGAGAATCTAAGTATTTTTTTTAGTAAATTTGTAAATGGATAAATGGAGCCAATATATGAGGGTGATATTAATTGTGAATACAATGGATCCTGCCATTCAAAATTAATTCATTTGGTGGCCTTAATAATTAACCTTCACTGTTGCTTAATGAATGGACAAAAGGAGCTAAACTTTGTAAATTGACGGAAAATGTTAGAAATACTAAAACTGCACCATTTTTACAAAGAAGGAGGACTATTAGTGCTCCATATGAAATGATAAGGATCATTTTGAGTCTTGAGGCAAAGATAAGGGATAATTTTGATCCTTTTCTCAAACTCTTTCGGTATTAAATTAAGAGTTAGTATACAATAAATATTTTTTTTAAAAGAAAAACATACTATAATATAGGAGGAATGATTATCATTCAACTCTAATCCAAAAAGAGGACTTTTAAGTATACATATTTATTATATAGATATAAGATCATCATATGAATATAGCTCATGACTAAGGCTCCAACGAATATAAAAGGCATGGGGAGGGTTAATGTCAATAAAGAATTGAAACAAATGGCTCAACGGTACTAAGTTCTAGAAGTCAGTTTTTCAACATTAACAACAGTATTAAAATAATGAACAATTAAAGCTTTTCAACTGGAGAATCAATTGTCTGTTACAATTGTCCAGAAAAGATATTCTTATTTAATCTTATATAATTTTTATTTACCCAATTTATATGTCTTTTAAATCTAGCATACAAATTAAACCACAACTTCTTGTTTTTATTTGAGTAAACAATACCAAAAGAATCACACATCAAATAAAGTTATATTGCGTTATGATATTCAGAGTCCGTTTGAATTAACTTATTTCAGATACTTTTAAATATTTTTGACATATTTGAGTAAATTAAAAATGTGTTTATAAACATTTAATTTTTAATGAAACAAGAAAAGATGCCATTGATGAATGAAGCTATAATAATACATGGAGTACAATTGTACAAATTAATGTAGCAATAGATAAATATACAAAATTATTGTTACCAAATTACAACTTGATCTAATCTTATCATGAAGAAAATAAGTACATCATCAAGCCAGCGAGGAAAGCGAGGAGCAGCTGTCATCTTTTGGACTTTCCGGCGTACCGACGAATCTCATCAGCAGAGCAAATCAAGCCGCCGATTATTCGTTAAACAAAAGAATAAGACTATAATCAAAGAATAAAACGGCAACTAGCTATGGCGGAAACGCCCAAATTAGCTTTTACAACAGTACTCAACAATGGCGGAACTTCCCAGCAAGTCCAATAATGGAGTTTACAGTTGAGAAAATAGCAGTAAAATTGAACCCACTATGATGTGGAGTTGCATAATCCAGGATTTCCAGCAAAATAGACCTCTCCCCTGAAATTAAAAAACTCTAGTGTTAGCGCCGGCGTCGGCGTCGTACGGCGGTGTAGACTAATTTGAAATATTATAAAAAACTAAAACTAACTAAATGTATGCTTACCGAATTAGAAGTAATGGACATATATCCGGGAGAGGAACTTCCGTCCTGCGGTGACCACGACGTCGGTGTTGTAGAACCGCTGCCAGTTGCCGGACTTCTACCGGAGCTGCTATTAGTGCTGACACCGGCGAATCCTAAGGGATACGACGGTGTGCCGTCCGGCTTGAAAAGACCATAGTTACGCTCCGACATAGGGCCAGGTTTCAAGTTCTCGTTAAACAAAGCAAAGACGTATATGTTCAAATTGCTGTTAGGCTTCAACGGAGTTCCCTTCTTTTGACTCACAAGTTTAATAAGATTGCAATTATATTTCCTCGCATTATCTGGCGTAGCTCCGAGCTCATCGGCGTCTCCTTTCGACGGCCAACCTGTCTCCGAGATCTGAACGCAGACATTTTTGTAGCCAATTGAAGCTAAAGCAGAGTGAACCGCATCGATTTGGGCGAAAAGCATGTTATCGTAATGAAGATTGGTAACTGGATCAACAATCCCCTGATTAGGCTGAAACAGCACGAAATCCAGCTGCACCTGCTTTGGATCTGCCTTGTACGCAAAATAAGGATAAGCATTGATTAAAAACGGCGAACCAGTTTTACAATGGAAATCCACCACCTGAGTAATACAGCTAACAAGATCTCGACGGAAAGCTCCGGAGGACGGCGGGTAGGAAGTCTCGAGAATGGCAACTGAATGTGCAGTAGTTACACTCACTTGCTTATCTAAGTTCATACTAACAAGAGCGGCGTAAACATTTTCCATCGCCGGTAGTAGATTGTCGGAAAGTGCAGTGTTGTTAAAAGTTAGCACTTCATTTCCAACGGCGATGCAAGTGATCTTCGTCGCCGGTAAATAAGCTTGGACGTTAGTTTTAACCCACGCCTGAGCTTTAGCAGGATCCTTCATATCGGAAAGGTACTCATTGCCGAGACTGACAATAAACTCAACACCAGAATTTGCAAATGCTTTGAGGACATGTGGATCGGCGTCGTAGAGTTTCACTCTGGTTGCTCCCATGGACTTCACTAATGGAACTACTTTCTCCGGAGGCGGGAGATTATCGGCAATCTGACCGTAGTTAATGCCGATAGAAGTTGCCATTACCGTGCTGATCAAAAACACTAAAATTAATGAAACGTAGTTGATATGAATGATGGAATCCATAGTAGACATGGATGAGGAAGAAGAAGCTATACAAGTGTGGATAATAGAGTAGTGAAATGAACTGAGTGGAGCAAAGAGTGGGAGTTGATCAGTGGGGGTAGAAGTAACGGCGTTAATGCATGTTGACGGATTTAGGTGGTCACATTTAACATCACTCCGTATCAAGCAGTAATCTACCTACCCTATCTGCATGTCCATTGCCCAAGAGATTTTGAAGGTTTAATAAGTAATTACTTAACCACCAATGAAGTTTGCGGTAGAGTTGTAAGTATTCATTCATTCTTAATTAAGAGGTCTGAGTCCTTGAGTACGGAATCGTCTTTGTTAGGGAGCATTTTACTCTCCCTTCCTGATGCAAATTCAAATTTAGTTGGGCTCCAATATAAATATCAAACATCGATGAGAAATTAAAAATAATAATTAACTGATGAATATATTACTCCCTCCATTCGTCATCTTACTAAAAATACATGCTCGAATAATTAATTTTTTCTCATTTTACCTCTATAATTAATACACTTTAGAAGTCTAAATAAATTTAGAAGTTAGAAATTTTCTTTTTTCAAGAATTTACTCCTAGGTCCCATATTAGATGCACTTTCTATTTTCAGGATAATTAAGAAATTATTCTTCTCTTTATTCATTATTATTTGTCATTTGTTTCTAAAATACATTTTTATTTTTGACATATCAAAGAAAAGATGATTTTTTTTTTCATGTTTTACCATTACCATTAAATATTATTCTTCAAAAAAAAATTCAAGACATAATACTAAATATCATTTAATAAGGATAGTGTGTAAAATACATATCAATAGTACTTGTTTTCTTAACAAATGTGTCAAATCAAACAATGATAAATAAAAATAAACGAAGATAGTCTTAGATTGATCAACTTTACTATTTTGCCCTTTGTTCATATTAATTAGCCTATTGACAAAAGAAATTCTTATTTCTTAGATCTTCAAAATTTGTATAAACTTTCAAAGGTCATATTAATTGTACGAGTAAAACAGAAAAAAATTAATTAATTATATCATGATTTAATAAGTGATCAAATAATATGAGACATATATTTTTAACAAGAAGTGTGTCTATCTAATATGAAACAAGAAGTATTAATTACAATATTGTATCTATTACAATAATAATTATTCATATGTTCTATGCTATTAAGCATATTTTTCGTAAATTATCTTTATATCCATCAATATTTTTAAACAATAAATTAGTAAAATTGATCATCTTATTTATGATTTCTTAAGTATCATGTAAAATATAAAATGATCAATTAATATGAGACAAGGAAAGTATTCGCTCTGTTTATTTTTATTTTTACTTATTTATTATACTAAAATAATTATTCGGTTTACTTGTTTAATCTTAAAAATTAAGAGATAATATATTATTTTATACCTATTATATCTTTATTGTTAAATACAACTCAGTTGTCAACCCACTTTCTAAAATATTATAAACTTTATCATTTTATTAATTACTCCCTTTGTTCACTTTTGCAGGTCTATTTTAAACTTTACAGATCCTTTAAGAAATAAATATAAATATTCTATTATAATATTCATATTAACTGATATAAAGCCTTAAATTTTTAAATAATTTGGAGAATAAATAATTACTCTTAAGAATAAAAAAATAAAATTTATATCTTATAAACAAATAAAAAACTATTTTCAAAATAATGAACAAGTAAAAATAAACCAACAAATACTTTTGAAAAAGGTTTGTCCAGTCAAAACAAACATGGAGTATAGATTAGTAAAAGATTGAGATGCTTTGATTGGAAGAGTTAAACAATAAAAAAACAAAGATAAAGAGATGCTTTAATTGTGGTGTAGTAGAAGACTTGGTGTGGATTGGATTTTGATCTTTCACATTTGCTTTTCAAATTTTATCTTATGTTTGGAGCCCACGAGGGAATTGATTCTCGTTTGCTTCTTATGTTAGGACAAAAGGAGTGGGGAAATGATGAGTTGCACTTCTATTGTTGGCCATTTTCTTCCTTTAATTCTTTTCACTAAAATAGTTTTTCATCTCGTGCCTACACAAAACGCCAATAAAAAGCCATTACATGTCCTTCGGATGACTCCGTTAATTTGGAAGGTCGTCTTCTGATCTCGATCCCTTCTTAATGTCTTTTAAGTCGAGTCTGTTGCATAAGACTTATCTAGTGCAATTCACATTTTCTGTGTGATTTACAGGCTATTATACGGTAGGGGTTGATCTAATGTACACGATGTGCTCACTATAGAGTGCTCATCCGAAGTGTAAAAGGTATGTCAGAAGTTATAGCGACAACGGGTTATGTTAGCTTAAAAAAAAATTAAAACCACCACATAATAAATATCATAAATTGTACCAAGAATGTGTATCTCTTCCTATCCAATCAAAGTTTGATGGGCATTTGAAGTAATTAAGCTAGCATTTGATTACATATATAAGACTAGATATTAAAATTTTATTTTAAAAATACTTTCAAGTTTTCAAAAATTGCTTAGATTTGTTTTCGAATGAATTTTCACTTTTACTTATAATTTTTTTAAATAAATTTAAATAAAATACATGCTCAATCACACCTTTTAATTCTAAAAATAAGAACTTCAATGACTCAAATTTTCAAACTTTAACTTTAAAATTTGTAATCCAATCCAAACATTATTATTATGAGAAAATATGATAAGTTTGTTGTGTGTCATCACATGTCTCCGTTTTTACCATAAGTGCGCGTAACTTTCTTTTGTGATACTTCCAATTTAGCACAGTATATTTCTTTGGCTTGTAGGTCTTTTTCAAACATCATATTAGACCTTCAATAAGTGACTACATAAAAAGAACTTTCGTCATGAAAGAATGTGATGTAGTGGATTGTGTTATTTCTTCATTTAATTAAAAGTTTTGAATTCGAGTTCTGGATATAAGAGAATCTCTTGATAGAAAATGCTTCCATTCCTATGTAATGCGAATTCAAATTAATCGGACTCTAATCTGACTGTGAATTTTTTGAAAGTAATAATAATAGCCGACTACTTATTTTGATTGCGCATTTTTGAAACAAAGAAGACAACTATAGAATTGAATTCAAACAATTATTATCTATTTAATTTGGACATCTATGGTATTATTGTTCTTAAATTTCACCTTGGCCCACCAATTTTTTTGTTCCTATTCTTGCAAGAGATTTTCTTGTGTGTTTCATTTCATCCCTCATGTTGGGTTGATGTTCTCCAAATAATTATATTGATGAATGAAATTTGTAAGTGTAGCTTATTTTGTAGATTATAATCTCTAAGTTACTGATTTAATGCTTGATTTATTAAAATTTTCGGTGCTGTTTTTAATAATTTATTTTCATCTTTAAAGTATTTGCCGACTAGCCGTAACTTTGGCATTATAAAAACGGAAATAGTCTACAATATATAAAAAATAATATAGAAATATTTATATCAATCATTAGAAAATTCGGCCAAATATTCTATAATAATAATTGTAATACGATGACATCATATATTCTTTATAATGATATTGTTCATAAGCTAGATATGAATATTCTTTTTTGAACTTATTTAAGTTTAATAAGAGCTTCAAAGAACCTTAATATAAATATTTGGAGCTTTCGAATCGTTTTCGGGGGGAGATTATTTGGTACTCCCTCCGTCCCTTTTTAGTTGTCCACTTTAGAAATGACACACAGATTAAGGCAACAATGATTAGCACAGTGAAGTTACAATTTTACCCTTATGACAACTTTTCACTTCAAAATTACAACCACTTCTTTGAATTCAAGTGAAATAAATTGGAGGGAAACAACATACACTTTTAGAAATTTTCAAGAAATGTAAATAAGGGTATAATAGGAAAAAATTTGTTGTCCTTTCTTGATTTGTCAAAATGGACAACTAAATAGGGACAACCAAAAAAGGAAATATGGACAAGTAAATAGGGACGGAGGGAGTAGGGAAACAACATACACTTTTAGAAATTTTCAAGAAATGTAAATAAGGGTATAATAGGAAAAAATTTGTTGCCCTTTCTTGATTTGTCAAAATGGACAACTAAATAGGGACAACTAAAAAAGGAAATATGGACAACTAAATAGGGACGGAGGGAGTACCATTTAATTAAAAGTTTTGACAAAAATCTTCGTCGATTCAAGTATTATAATGTTGTGGAGATACTCAAATTTTTATGCTACGATTAATTTTAAAACAAGTATTTGCTTTAGTAATTTTTCATGTCTCAATTTATGTGATTTTTTTGTTTGTTTGTTAGTTAAGAGAGTATTGAAAATATCTTTAAATTCAACGCGAATTATTAGTTTTATCTCTGAATTATTGACATCCTTAAAAACACATCTTTACTTAACTAACTAAACTTAAAATACACCCAAGATCTTACAATATGAGTAAAATACACTCTTAGATTCTTGCTAAGTTTAGGAGTGTTTTCAACACTTCTCTCAGCTTTTTATTAAGAGGCACATGCTCTTACAAGAGTTTGAGAACACTTGTTATGTCATATTGCAGTCGAGATGAAACCAATAATATGCGTCAAGTTCATGAGTGTTTTCAATACTTTTCTCTTATTAGTTTAAAGAAAAATGACATATTTTTATATTTAATTGTAGTTTTATTTTTTTGAATTCTATCTTAATAAAATAATTTATAATTATAATTTATCTTCAATTACAAACTTAATTTTTTTTCTTGAAATAATTTATATTTAATTAAATACTTCCACATAAATTGAAAAAAAAATATTATCATCACTAGTGTAGAGATTCCCAATTCAATAAAAATAATACTAAAATCATAATATTCTGAACCAACTATAGGACAACATGTGTATATATTAAATTCCTGTCAGTTCACACTTATTATTTCTGTCTACCATCTTCTTGCAGAGCTGTTTTTGACCGTTAAGGCCCATTTCTATCACATCAATTATCTAGCAGCCAAACCCATAACAATTTTTTTTTCTAACTGAACTTAATTTTACATTGTTTTTTTTCTCTTTATCTCTGGCCTATAGAGCTCGCATCAGAGGTTCGACTAAATTTGAATAGCGTAATATAGAATTCATTAGGGCGTGTAACTTTCAACATAATTTTCTTCATGGAATCCATGATCTTAATCTGAGACCTCTGTTAAGGATGCAACAGTCTTA